ATTATCCTGATGCTGATGGGAAAAGCCAGGCTGGGAGGGCAGGGGCCCACCTGTTCTCTTGGAGGATGTTGTTCCAAAGGCTATTGCCTACACACAGTGTGCAAATTGCAAACTGCACTGAATAAAAAACAAGACACAATTTTTCCTCTTTGTCTTGTAGGTTTGGGGTGGGGGTGAGGAGAGTAACCATCTGGACTGCTAAAGATGGATTTAGGATTCTTCCTCTCACCCTGATAGCTGTTCTTTTAAACTAACTTCCCCGAGAGAGGAAAAAGCTGCGAGCGAGAGAATTTATGAGACGTATATGCGAGGTGCAAACTCCAGATTAAAATTTACCATGGGCTGGCTATGACTATGAATACCATACAACGAAGACACTGATCCCTCATGCCACCCAGCTAGACCAGAGAAAGAAATCAGATTCCCATTCCTTTGGTTTTTCCCAGCTGCTCGCAAGCTGCAGTGACATCTACAGTACTGGAAAGTACATTTCAAGCAAAGCATTGCCTTCATCTATGGAAAGGGGCAAATTAGCGAGAGGCTGTTCTCTGTCCTCTGTATAAATCTTTCAATCTGCTGGTGCTTTATTTGTGAATTAGATTGGAATATCTTCTCCTCCCTAACCTTCTAGCATCTGGCTATTATGTTTAGCATTGTTGTGTTTCTTGCAGCTGCTGTTAAGAATAAGCTTCTGCTTGCTGGATAGGTCGGTCATTATACAATATATGCTACTCAGAACAGGGAGGAAAAAAATGATTAAAGCTGGGATTAGTAGGTCCAGCAGGTTAGGATTTTCTACCTAATAGTTATTGATACAGAAAGCAATTGCATAGACAAAAAGGATACCTATGCAGAAGTTGTTACTACATGTTCTTTCAACAATCTCTCTCCATTCCCATCTTTAATGGAGTAATGAAGTCCTACTGTGAGGTGGAGTGTTTCTTCTGATATTTCTTAGGAAAATGACTAGATGCTCTTTTGTTATTGTGTCTGACTTCTCTTTAGGGAAGTTAAAATGTATGCTAATCTCATACTTGTATAATTATCATATTATCGCAACGATTTTACAACCTCCTGGGAGAAGATAGATAAGTATTTTCTCTGGTCTTGCCTTCTAAGAACTAAAGCCACATTGCACATCTGGAAACTTTATCCAATACTCTGTTTTTGTTCCTTACATTACTTTAGATAGATAGATGATAGATAATACATGGATGGATAGACATATAGAGATGAAAGGGGGGGAGATATATGATGGATGGACGGAGAAGAGAGAAAGATGATGGATGGATGGATGGATATAGAGGATAGATAGATAGATAAGATGGATGGATAGATACATAGATGTAGATACACTGAGGCAAGGTATTTTTGTGTGTCATTACTTTGCACTATTTGTGGGATGTTATATGATGCAGATGTCAGTGTTTTATCCATTTAAATCTCTTGTTGACTTCTTTCACTACTTTTGTACGTATGCATGCATGCATGTAATGGCCTTTCATCTTGTCCAGAGTGACTCTGGATGATGTAGAATAAAACCAATAATTATAATGCATTACAAAGAACACTTTAAAGAATTAGACATTAAAAAACCCAAGATTTTTGAGAGGGTTAAAATCAGAATGTCATACGTGAATCAACCAGTGTGTAGGCCTGTTGGAAAAAAACCCTGTGTTAAAGGGACTTTTGGAAGGTCACAAGAGTCAAGCAGATGTAACTGGGAAGAGGTGGTGCACAGATAACCTGACCCCATTTCATGTAGGGCTTAAAGGTCAAAAACAGCACCTTGATTTACACTTGAAAGAAAACTGGTGATCAAGGCAGCTCATGGAGCAGAAGTGTAAAAGGGCTAAAGCAGGACTTGCAATCTCCTGTATTCTAGTACCCTATCTAAATTTAGACCAAACTGGAAATCTTATGCCAATAGAGCACACTGATGATGAATGAAGGATAGTGTGTAGCTCTTTGTATTGATGGTACTAAAGACCCACAGAAAGAAGGTCAAAAGAATGCAGTTTATTTCCATACATTCAAAACTCAGGAAAGATTCCTTCTTCCCAAGAAAACTCTTTCCATTTCCACGTGCACAGTGAGAAATCTCTACCTTGCCAGTTCATCTATATATTTCTCTCCAGAATCTAAGGAAATATTTCTAAAATCAACTACAGCAATTCACTATTAAAATTTGTCCTGGTAGACGTGGGGGGAAACTACTTTAAATTGAAACAGGTGCATATAACTTTAAGCTGTCTCATTAAGGCAACGCTAAGTACATTTTAAAAAAATCAAGTCATGAGTGCATCTTTATGTCAGTGTGGAGAATATGAGAATCTGCACATAAAGAACAACCAGTTGGCTGCATTAAAGGGCTCTCTACATAGTCCTTGAGTTGACAGAAATGTTAACTAACATAAAATTTACCGGTACAACTATGGTGCCTATTCTAGAATAATGAGAATGGTGAGTGGTTCTGTTTTAATGCAGGACATGTTAAGGAAAGCTATTTATGCATTATTCCAGTTTTGTTTCTCGTTTCATCAAGCACTGCCTGCTGACAGGAAATTGACCAACAATCACTTTCCTTAACACAAGATAAAGTGTGGATGGATGAGTGGGTTCATGGAATGGTGGTTTTGCCCACCACTCAAGTATCTGAACCAACTGGTTGCATTTATCAGTTCGTTTTTTTATGAGCATGTACTCATAAAAGTGAGTATAGTGCTCTTCTGAAACAGTGCTAAACCTGTGTTCTGAAGAAGCCTGGCTCACAAGGTATGGAGTAATAGCATGATGTGAAGCAATCCGTAAAAAGCAACCTTCATCCTTGATTAGTGCAACCATGGAACAGCAGTATTAGTGATAATTCCAATTTTGTCCTTGGGAATAGCAGCAAATGCTGCTATCAAATGCTACTATCCACAAGGACAAAATTGGAACTGGCCATGGATTTGGAAAGGATTAAAAAAAATGGCATACCCACATCCCTGAAGTAATAAAAACAGTAAAAATTAGGTAATTGAAACCTCTTGTAGGCAGAAACAGACAAAAACCAGTAATCTAAGCTAAAGTAAAAGAATCAAAAACAGCAAAATAGGACCCAGCACTTTTTAAAATTTACATTTACTTATTGTGCGTGTACATGAGCATTCTCCTAAAACAGCACTAAGCCTATGTTTTTAGAAGCCGATGTGAGACCTGGCTAGCAGTCTAGAAGGTGCCAGTCAGCAAAAACTGTAGAGAAGATAGTAGACATTGGGAGAAGCCCTCCTACTCTACCATTTCTTACAATACTAGACAACATAGTATCAGCAGTAGAGACCTTCTAGGTTCTATAATACCTCAAGACTTAAAATGGACATCTAACATCAAAAATGTCATCAAAGAAGCACAATAATGAATGTTCTTCCTGTGCCAACTCAGAAAGCTCAGACTGCCCAAGGAGCTGCTGATACAGTTCTCCACAGGGATTATTGAGTCTGTCATTTGCCCCTCTAGAACTGTTCTGGTTTGGTACAACAACCAAACAAGACAGACAGAGACTTCAACAGAGTTAGGACTGCAGAAAAAACTATTGCAACCAGCCTGCCTCCCATTGAAGATCTGTACACAGCACAAGCTAGAAAGAGGGCTGTGAAAATATCTACAGACCCCTCATATCCTGGACCTAAACTATTTCAACTTCTTCCCTCAAGACGATGCTTCAGGGCATTGCACGCCAAACAACCAGAGATAGACAGTTCTTCCTCCATGCTATCACAACTAATTCCCACAACCCTGTCTTATGCCCTGGGATGACAAACCACCTAGTAGGGCTGTATTACTATTATTCTTCTCATCTTTCCTTTACTTATTTCCTTGGCTTATGACTATGTTGTTTGTTATCTTATGATTATGTTGATTGTTTCTATTTAATATCCTATTATGATTTATGTTGATTGCTTATTTAGTATTCTAGGACTATCACTGTGTGTTGTATCTTATGATTATATTTATGATTATGATCATGATTTATCACGTGTTGCTTGTATGTACATTGAGAGCTTATGCACGGGAGACAAATTCCTTGAGTGTCCAATCACACTTGCCCAATAAAGAATTCTATTCTTTCTATTTTCTATTCCACTCCATTCCAGAGTGGGTAGGAAGATCTCGCTAATATAATCTGAAAAATCATGTAGCAACCTGCTTACCTTTTATAGGAGCTATTCTAGAAACAGAAACACCCTCTCCCAAATTACAACTATTTTATAGCTACTTGGGCTACTTAAAATGTCATATGCTACCATATTATCCTGATTCTAACTTAGCAAATTCATCTGCTTAATCTTAACTTTCTGTATTTAGATGTCTGTGTTTTGAGGGATAAACACTTATAATAGAAGTCAAGGTTTTCAGCCTTCAGCTTCTTGATCTTTTTTATGTCACTTGTATTTGTAAAATTAACATTCTCCAGTATTATTCTAAGGCATCGGGTAAATTTGCAAACTACTCGCCCATGGTTAGCGTTATACTGTATTTTATTTGGCTTTCTAGAGTCCCATAATATACTAAAGCATACATTAACTACAAGATCAGATTCCTAAGACAAGAGTGTTAACAAACACTCTCTCTGTTCGAAATGGTTACAGAAAAGGATTTGTAAGATCAGGCAAAATATTTAAAATAAAATCGGGAAGGGGAGCTGTGCTGCGTTCCTATAAACAGATGGAATCCTCCTTAAGAGAATGCAGTGAATGAATGGCACTGACCATCCTCAGACAGACACTTAAGAAAGCTGGCTTCGAGGTTCAAAGCATTGTTAATTTCAGTTTTGGCACGCAGAACTGTTGGCGACATCTCCCCCCCCCCCAAAAAAAAAGAGGGCTTAAGCGTCGGACACAAAGAGCGCAAAACACTAAAGTGAAGCACAAAAGCAGTTCCGCTCCGGGACAAAATGGCCGCAGGAGCACCCGTCTTCTCCTCCCCTGCGCGCCATATCCGGGGGAGGGGGGGATGCGACCGGAAGTGGGTCGCGTTTCCAAGATGGCGACTCCCTATGTTACTGATGAAACCGGTGAGTGTGGGAGCTGCGGTTGGGGTGTGAGGGACGTAATTTCGAGTGCCAGACTCTTTCTTCCCCTGATTCCCCCCCAACTCGGACATCCGCCCTCCCCCACCCTTCACGCCCGGCCGCTCCATCCCCGGTTCTTTCCGAAGCGAGGCTCCTCCCCATCTCCATCCTCGCTTGTCCGTCCCGCTCTTACACCACGCCCCCTGCCTCGAGGGCGTCCCTCCTTTCTCTGGGCTGCCTGCTCTCCCCGCCGCTGGGCCCCGCCCCTTCCTGGGCTCGCCGTCTCGCGCCACGCCCCTTGCAGCAAGGCAGCCCTCTCGGCGCCCGCCCGAAAGCCATCCCCGTGGCAGGTGCGAGGCGCGCAGGTTCCCCTTTCTCCGCTTTCTCACGTGCGTTAAAGCAAGAGGGCAGTCTTTACGGGGATTGCCTTTGCCGTATCCCGGGAATTCCCTCGGGACTGTTCCCTCCGAGGGCGTCTAACTAAATAAAGCTTTTTAGTCTATGACTAGTTTCATTCTATATGCACACATGTGTCCTTTTCCATCGAACCGCTTGTAGAAGTATTGGACCACCAATTCCCACCATCCCCAACCAATAGAGGTGGAGAAGATGGGGATTGCAGTCCAATATATCGGAAGAAATCAGGTTCAGGAAGGAAATGGTATCTAAATCAAATTAGGGGGTATCTAATTAGAGGTATCTAAAAATGGCATCTAAATCAAATAGGTCAGTTTTGGGGAATTTAGGTATCTAAATCAAAATTATATCGGTGATGGAATCCAACAACATGACCTGGTATAGATATGCCTCTGTAATTATTTTTATTTCTTCCCCGCCTTTTCTCATAATGAAGTTGCCTGATTAAGGAAGCATTTGTTGCTTAAAAGATTTCTGTGATTTTTTAAAACGTCAATAGGCCTAATAAATTCCTAATAAAATAATACAGCAACATTTCTAAGGAGGTCCTTCCATTGATTTTGCTTCCCCACCACCACAAGTGAGTATCTACAATTCTGTATGCATAGCTTGTACATGCCAAACATCTAATGTGGGTCTTAAGCTCACTCTTCTCTTTTTAAGTGAATTTCTATCCATTTTTGGATTGAGATGTTACTGGTTTCTCCCCCACCCCCCACCCCAACCTGTGTCTTTGAATATAACTTGTGCAGAATTTTTGAAGAGATTGAAATTTCTGGACTTTTCTCCCTTTGACCAATGAAGTTTCAGGGTAATCCTCCTGGACTTTTTAGTCAAATCCATATATAATAGAAGAGTCTCTTCGATGCTGCCTTTTCAGTATAAAGACCTTGTTTATAATGTTTTTTTCTCTTCGGAATAGTCTTATGAGATGGATTAAATTAAGAGAGAAATTGAACAAAGTCACCCTGTCAGCTTTGTGTCTAAACTACAGATTTAAATCCAAGCCTCTTCAGTAAATTGCTACAGTTGGTTTAAGGAAGCAGTGTAGCCTTAACTGCCTCTGAAAATATTAGTGATTTTTGTATTGTCTGTTCTCCTTGTGGCAGTTTTAATTTGTCATGCGTATCATGCATTAATTGTTCTGCATATGATCATATGCTGCACATCTGCCATTTTATCTTTTTTTAAAAATAAGAATCCTTGCTAACTTACAGGGTCACTGACAGAAACATTTTGTAAGTATTAAGTGTTACCCTGTAAAAAAAATATCCGTTATTACTTGTGCAGAGGCATTTTGCTTTCATTTCTTTATAACTTTAACTTTCATATAAAAAAGGTAAAAAGTCTCCTTTGTGTTAGTTCCTCAATTCCTCATGACATCCTGGAAACCCCCATCTAACTTTATTACCAAAGGTACCAAAGTGGTTTGCCATTGTTTTTTGCTAAGTTTTTTTTTTAACTTCGTTGTCTAGTGAGTCCAAAACCTTGGTATTTCTTAGTGGTCAGTGGTCGCCCTTCTAGACACTAACCAGCCCTAATGGTGCACACCAACTTTCCTCATTTATCAGCGAAAAGACTCAAGTCCAGGAAGTCCCCACCGGCATTGGCACAATATCTGCCCAACAATTTTAACATTGATTCCCAATGGAAAGCCAAATAGATCACTGAATGGCCAGATGTAGGGAGACATACTGTATAAATGACCCCACGAAAAAGGTGCCAGGCTTTGAACTACCACGTCAGCAATGGACAATCCTGAATAGGATTCGCACCTCACACCGTGTCTGCTGGAACTCACTGTATAAACGGGGAATAGTATCTTCCCTTCAGTGTGACTGTGGAGTCCCATGTCAAACTGTAGATCACGTTGTGACTGGCTACAAGCTGATGGCATATACTGGTCCAGTGTCTGATTTATTTTTCATATAAACGATGCTGCGCTTCAATGGTTAGATGGTCTAGACACAGTTCTTTTAAACATATTTTATTGTGTTTTGCTAATTTAGCTAAAATATTAATATATATTGCTACTCCACATATGACATGCCATACACTAAATAAATAATCTAACTAGGGTTAGATTTTTATGCTTAGTTGAAAAATCTATGATTAGGTTGCTTGTGGAATTTGAATGGCTGGTTGGGTTTGTGTATATCTTTTTCCTGTTTTGCAAAGGATTTTTTCGCTTTTTTAAAAAGCTTTAAATTCCTATTGATCACCCAGGAAAATATGACTGGTTGGTTGGTTGGTTGGTTGGTTGATTGACTGATCGACTGATTGATAGCAATTTCCTTCCCAAACCAAAATAACCAATCCATATTTCAGGAAAATACATCGCATCCACACAGCGCCCAGATGGTACCTGGAGAAAACAAAGACGGGTGAAAGAAGGCTATGTTCCCCAAGAAGAAGTGCCAGTGTAAGTCCGATCCTCACCCTGCTCCTCTTGTGGATATGTACAGAGAAGTAGGCCACGCAAGCAAAAATAAACACTCTTGTAACATAAGCTAACATAGGCATGATAGCCGTGGATCACAGACTACCTTATCTGATGCACGAAATGTTATTTTATATAATCTTTATCCTCCTCTTGTATTAGTTGTGTATATGTGATGCTCCCTGCTTTTGCTGAAGCAGACTGTATAGTTCATGAAATCTCATTTGATTAGAAATGTATTAGTCCTTAAGGTAGCATAAGACTGTGGGGTCCTTGGAGTAGGAGGGCAAGAAAGCAAAAAAACAGGGCTACGACATTGTCAGGGGACACACACCACACACACTTTCCATCATCATCTTCAGTCTTTGGAGTGATATTCTTGAAAAAAAAACATTTTTCATTAGTGATGTGGCCTCAGATCAGGAGGAACTTGATCTACTTTTGATAGGAAAAACTCGGAATTCTCACTAAGCATTTAATGCTTTTAGATTTTATTTTATTTTTAGATCTCCACCTACTGACTTTTCAAACATTTAGAGGTTCAAGACAGTGTATACTTATAATTCTGACTATCTCAGTTTCCTTTTCCCCTTGCAGCTTTTCTTTATCTGGGATGGCTGAAGTGAAATTTCCTCATTCCAGGGGCACTAAGTTTCTGAACATATTACTTACATTATATTTTTTCTTTACTTGTGACAATGGAATGATGGATAGTGGGTTTTTTTCAGTTTTTTTCCCCCTAACTTGTGCTGTGTTAAAAGTTATGGGCTGATTGTGAAAGTTTAGTTTCATGACTACAGTGGTAAGATCCAGTTTGCGAATCCTTTAGAAAAGGGGTGGGGAATTATGGCCCCTTTATGACCTGTGGACTTCAACTCCAGAATTCCCGAGCCAAGCTGGGAAGGTTTCTTCAGAATGGCATAAAAAATGTCCGTTGATCAGTCAGCAGCAAGAAAGATTCAATGCTTGGCTAAAGTATTTTCATTTATCTGGAATGTAAAATTCAGCAAGAAGCAAGAAACACAGGGCATTGGGGCATTTTGTGGAGCTATGCTGTAGCCAAATTTAAAGTTGTATATTCTGTGAGCCGCCTTGAGTTGCCTGTGAGAATAGGCAGCAATATAAATTCCCTAAATAAATAAATAAATAAATAAAGGCAGAAAAGGAAGTCAGAGGGTCTAGGATGCTGATGCAACACCTGTCTGCAACTCCTTAAAGCAGCTGCCATTTTCCCCAGGTTTAGATAGTGGTCCTTTGCAATTGCAGCAGGATCCCAAGAAAAATATTTTATTTAAGGAGCTCAAAACAATTTGCACATTCCCCTGCATACATTTCAGCACTCCTGAACACTTTGAATGAGAATGTTGCATAGCCATTTTAGTCTTTTTTAAACAAGAAGTAACTGTCCCAGAAGTTTCAGTGTTCATTTAGTAGGCATAAAGCAGCATAAAGATTGCCTGTAGTCTACTCTGAACAACGACTGTGAAAATTTGCTGAGACCACCTGACCCAAGCCATGTTCTTTATATTTCACATACACTCTTTCCATTTTGTAGGTTGCTGTACAAAGTAACACTTTCTAGATGATCTGTATGCTCTTAAGTTAGATTTCTACACCTTGGTATGCTCCAAATGTTGTAATAATGATCTGTTTGATTTCCAGATAGCACTTTTTTGTAATTACAACACTTTTAAGAAAGTTTTCAAACAGTCACTCCTGGGGGGTTCTCCCTTAGTGCTCTCTGAGCTTGGTAGTTTCCTTGCAGACACGTCATTACCAAACTAGGTAACATCATCAGTGCTAGGGCTCTTCTATCAGTGTCACTCCTCTCAACCTATTTTACAGAAGCTCTGTGTGTGGATAAAGTGAAGATAACCTTCCATGTGTACCGCCTTGAGCTTCCAGAGGAAACACGGTCCGCCTTTACACCATATTCTCTCTTATCTCATGCAGGTATGAGAATAAATATGTGAAGTTCTTTAAAAGCAAGCCAGAGTTACCTCCAGGCTTGAATCCAGAAGTTCAGACGCCTGTGGCCCGTCAAACGTCAAAGGGACCCGAGGGTGGAGAGACGGGACTCTCCAAGACCGCTAAGAGGAACCTCAAACGGAAGGAGAAGAGAAAACAGCAGCATGAAAAAGGGGATCGAGACACCGATGACCTGATTCAGTCTCTAGAGAAAACAACCTTATCGGCGACACCGAGCAGTTGCGGGGATGGTAAGCTGGCCGTGTCTGATGCCAACCCAAGAACCCCTGCTGGCAGCAGGGATGTCTCTTCAACTTCTGCCACCTTAGAGAAGAACAAGAAAGTTAAAAACCTGAAAAAGAAACTACGGCAGGTGGAGGATCTGCAGGCGCGGATTGACTCTGGGGAGATCAAGCAGCCGACCAAAGAGCAGTTAGAGAAGCTGGCTCGACGGAAAGCTTTGGAAGAAGAACTTGAGGACCTGGAACTGGATTTGTAAAGGGTTGGAATATCAACCGGACCTAGTGTGCTTAGGAACAAACCGTCCCCTGGGGAAACATTCTCAGAACTGCAACAAAAAGACCAGAAGATGGTGATGTCTTCAGCCTTCTCCTTTGTACCATTATTTTATTTTATGTTGGTGCTGTCTGAATTTTTAAAAGTATTTCTCCCAGCTGTTGATGTGTTAGCTATCTAGGACTTCTTTAAGGCAACAACTTTGCCACCTAGTTCTTTCCAGTTTCTTCCTCCCCTTCCCACTTCCATTCTTATTCCAGGTGGGTGGGTGAAATGTCATTTCACACCGAGGGGATGACTTTCAGAGGCACCTGACCAGGGGGAGCAATCTGTCTTTTCCTCCTGCCATTGTATTATATTCAACATTTTCACGTTCTCTGTAACAATCACATGGCCTTCCATCTTCTCTTCCTCCTCATTTTGAAAAAAGGATGCAATAATAAAAATTGCAGTAGTGACCTCTGACTCTAGGACATCTGTGTTTTCCTCCCCAATGCACTTCTTCTTCTTCTTTTTCTTTTTTTAAAGTCTTCTGTATGATATTAGCAATTTTATAGGCTTCCCTTTCTTTGGCTGGTGGATGCAGCCCAGTGTCAAAAGCGGTTTGTGATAGATGTGAAAAAAGGCAAAAGGGACAGTAGCTCAGTCATGGAACATATGTTTTATACACAGACATTCTGAAGTCTGATCCCAGTTATCTTCAGATTGGAAGAAAAGTCCTGCTTGACGCCTTGGGTGGCCACTGTCAATCGGTCTTAACATTGCTGATCTCTCAGTGCTCTGGTTTAGCTAAGGCAGCTTCCAGGCTGGGGCTGCATAACTTGCCCCTTGGGGCTAAAATTGAATGATTTGTAATGGAGCTTGTTGCATGAGCCTAGACCTTGTCTTATGTTGTGTGATCCAGACTATCAAACTTAAGCAGCACAATTTATTTCCTTAGTCATATCTGGAAAGCAAATCTGCTTGATTACCAGGTGGCAGAAGAGATCAATCTAATCATTGTCCAGAGTTTTTGCATCCCAGGTAAAATCTCCCTGGACATAACAATTGTGCTTGATTAAATAAGAGCTGGATGTTTTGTGTAAATCTGGTTCCTGTGTGTGTTTCATGTTAAGGGATTATTAGAAATAGACTCGATAATAAATGTGTGGATATGGTGTGATCATCCTCGGTGTAGTGGGCACAGTTCTTGTCCCTTTCAGATAACAGGAAAGTTAAACTTGGGGAAAAGTGAAGAGAAGGGCAAAATAAAGAGGTATCTTCAATTTAAATAAAAATCCAAGGGCTTCCTAGCCAAGATAACTAAATTCTTTTTCTCTCTCCCTTTCTCCCTCTCTCTCTCTCTCTCATTTCTATATTAGAACAGCGGTCATGAATTTCCACAGCCGAAGACCAATTTTGCAAATGGATTCACTTAAAACATAGGACCAAATTTTAAGGGAGGAAATGATCAATCCTGGGGTGACCAAAAGCTACGCTTAACTTTTGGAGTAATAGCAATAAAGTCTACCAAGAAAATAGCAGTTGTATAAAATATGGGTAGCTGTGTTATAGACATGGCCAGGGCAAATATTTTCTGTTTGTTAGTTTTTTGTGGGATGTTCTTTGATGCTGAAAACTGTTATTTTATTTATTTATGTATTGATTGATGTCATACCTTTCACTCAGCAACTCAAGGTGTCACACAATACGCCCTCTTTCTAGTTTTCCCCACAGCAGCACTGTGGCTTAAACTGCCATTTTTATATATTCTCCAACTCGCATGGCAGAAAGCTGAGACTGAGTAACTTAGTTGGAAGAACTTTTTAAAAAAATGTGTGGTTTTATACACACACACACACACACACACACACACACACACACACACACACACACACGAACGGTTGAGGCTGCAAATGACCATACAGTACGTGATATCTTCCTGGTTATGGGAAAGAACTGCAGTTTAATCATATTATATCTAGATATGTTAATATGCTAAAATATTTTCATTGATGTCAGAGGATCTTTCATGTGTTCTAACTGGAATGTGTATTTGGTTTAAGAAAACAAAATTTAATTTCACACTCCTAGTTTAAATTGAGAGAGATTTCTCTTTCTGTCTCTTAACTAACACTGGCATGAGCAAAGTGCAGCCTCTGTCCCAGTCTCTGAGCAAACATTGAAGCTTTCCAGGTACCCACTGAGTTACACTGAAATTGCCAAAGGCAGAAGATGAGAAAGAAGCAAGGGAGTTTAAAAAAAAATTAGGCTAAAGTTTCAGCCATGAAATCAGCGCTGCAGTTCAAAGTCAGTGTCAAGAAATAGAGTGTACACTGAATGTTTTTTATTAGTGGTAGGTACCGTTGGTGTCGGATTGCACCTCCTGTTTAGGAACAGGGGAAAAAAACAGCAGCAGCTGCTCCTACAACTGTGTAAAAACAAAGGACAGTAACATTGTCCTTTGCTGGATTAGGGGTTTTGTTACCTTTATCCAGCAGGTGGTGCTAAAAGGTCTTATTAATAGTGCAATTGTGTCTGCTCAGCTACTTCAATATGGTATCGTGTTTTTTTTCTTGAAGCCACCACTTCACACACATGCTAATATGCCTTTAGATCAGGGGCGTCTAACCATGGCAACTTTCAGACCTGTGGACTTCAACCCTAGAGTTCCCCAGCCAGCTAGCATACTGCTTTAGATGGACTACCAAAAACGTGTCCCTCAGGGTAAAACACACACACACACTGAATGACAAATTTGCAAGTCCCTTTTTAGGCCAACATGCCTGGCCAAGGCGTTCATGCATAACTAACCTAGATCCCATCCCAGACTGGTTTTTCCATATTCCACTGTAGTCTAGATGCAGGTCACTGAGCTTATGGCTGAGAGTAAAAAGAATAACTGCATCACTTGAAAAACTAGCTCATTGGAGCCAATGAATAGCTCAAATGAGAGCCACTCATTGGACAGATGAGAACTCAGGATAGTGTTGCCTCTACTACTAGGGAGGATCGGAGGTGGGGGCAGGACAGGACCCCTTCTAGCAAGCCTTGGTTCCAACTATCATCAGCCTTTCCAATTGTAGCCAATAGTCAGGAACACCACTTCTTGTGGTGAAAACGAATTGGAGAACACCACATGGTTCCCAAATATCCTTTATCTGTTGTTTACCCAGCTGTCCTTTTGTTTCACACAGAAAGATTAAAGGATCACCTGGAGAAGCTTTAGGGAGACATCAAAAACACAGCTGCTACTGTTGTTCCCCTCCCATTGTCTCTCTCCTAACAAGGTTTGTATCTTTCTCTAATTTGTACTAGGAGCAGAAGGTGGCTGATAAGTTTGATGAAATGCATGTTAATGAAAGCTATAGTCCTTAGACAAAACTTCCAGGAGTTATTATTCTTCCAACTCTATGATCTGTTTTCCTTGGTCTCTGGTGAATTCTATTTTCCTTCATTTTGATTGTACTCCATGTCGAGTAATTTTAAACAAAGGGTAATTTTTTGCAATGTTACCCTTGTGGTTTTTAAACTTTCTTTCAAGAAGCTCACTCTCCTGCTGACAGAGTCCTTTGCAGCAGGCGGGTGGGTGGGTCAAAATGCTGTAACCCAAAAGCACAAAAGTTGGCAGGCTTACGGATTCTGGTTGAAAAATAAAGTCAAGTCTTGCAACCTGAAAGTATTTTGCTTTTACGTGATGGGCGAAACTTTTAAATATGTGAAGTGGGGGAAGTCCTTTCTGCAATCACTGAGGGCAAACATTTGGTTACTTCATCATCTGCTTTCATTTGCTATTTGCTTTGGAGTTTGATTTTTCCCGCCAGTCAATAAATAAGATAACATAAATGCCTTACGTGTAGGCCTTACATTCAGAAAAAAGTCGATTGCACAGTATACTATACTTTTTTATTACATACTTATATATGCACCAGAGACAAATTTCTTGTGTGTCCAATCACATTTAAATACAAATACAATAGCAGAGTTGGAAGGGACCTTGGAGGTCTTCTAGTCAAATCCCCTGCCTAGGCAGGAAACCCTATACCATTTCAGACAAATGGCTATCCAACATCTTAAAGACTTGCAGTGTTGGGGCATTCACAACTTCTGGAGGCAAATTGTTCCACTGATTAATTGTTCTAACTGTTAGGAAATTTCTCCTCAGTTATAAGTTGCTTCTCTCCTTGATTAAACTTGGCCAATTAATATTTGGCCAATTAAGAATATTCCATTCCGTTCCTATTCCCATCCTATTCCAATTCTATTCCATTCCTATTCCTATTCTATTCTATTCCATTCCTATTCTAGTCCTATTTCATTCCATTCAACTGTTGGATAACATGTTACAATACAATACAATAGCAGAGTTGGAAGGGACTTTGGAGGTCTTCTAGTCCAACCCCCTGCCTAGGCAGGAAACCCTATACCATTCCAGACAAATAGTGATCCAACATCTTCTTAAAAACTTCCAATGTTGGGGCATTCACAACTTCTGGAGGCAAGCTGTTCCACTGATTAATTGTTCTAACTGTCAGGAAATTTCTCCTCAGTTCTAAGTTGCTTCTCTCCTTGATTAGTTTCCACCCATTACTTCTTGTTTTACCCTCAGGTGCCTTGGAGAATAGTTTGACTCCCTCTTCTTTGTGGCAGCCCCTGACATATTGGAACACTGCTATCAAGTCTTCCCTAGTCCTTCTTTTCATTAAACTAGACCTACCCAGTTCCTGCAACCGTTCTTCATATGTATTAGTCTCCAGTCCCCTAATCATCTTTGTTGCTCTTCTCTGCACTCTTTCTAGAGTCTCCACATCTTTTCTACATCGTGGCGACCAAAACTGAATGCAATATTCCAAGTGTGGCCTTAACAAGGTGTTAGAAAGTGAGTGTGTGGTCAAGGCATTATAAAGTGAATCCTCCAAATGTCACAAATACAAGTATTAAAACAAAACTGTTACCTAATTATTCTTTGCAGGATCCTTGGCTGACCGAATACACCTCTAGTTTATTTTGACAGTGTTGAGATTTATCTGAAAAATTCATTGGGGCAGAGATTCTTTAGCATTTATATTCCTAGATAAGAGAATCATCTATCAGAGACAAAGTCACCAATTTAATCAAAAATGAGATTTTAGAACAGTGGGGAGTTTGATATGATATATAAACCCAGCTATTATAACTTATATACAGTGATGTTTAGTTTAATATGTGAATTTAGCCAAATATTATTAAATGTGTCATGTTTTTTTTTAAAAAAATCATAGGTTAGTCAAGTGTTAACCAGAATTTAGGATTGTTAAAGCTATTGACTACCATATATTGGCCCAAGGATATTTGTGTTTGAATTGGACTGTGATCAGTTTAGTAAATCCACCAATTTAAAGATTTAAGCCATCCTTCCTAAATCAAGGCCACTTCTTAATGTATTAGTTATCATTCGAATCTTAACATTCACAGTCAACATTGTTTTTGTAAAGGAAATCCCCCTTTCATATTAGTCAGAAATCCTCCCCCCCCCCCCCGGTAAAAACTGCAGTTCCTGAGAAGAGATTTTACCATAGAGAAAGGAGGATTACATTCTTATGCTTGATTGGAGGCAATAATTAACCTCAAGCTTATTCAATTTTCAATTCAATTATAACTATAAAAGAGAATATTTGTAGCTCAGGGTCAAAATGAGGGCTCCTTGGTGCTCTCTGAATTTGTTTGTTTTCTTGCAGACGTTTCATTACCCAAATTAGGTGGCACTGATGATGTTACCTAGTTTGGGTAATGAAAAATCTGCAAGAAAACAACCAAGCTCAGAGAACACCAAGGAGCCCCTAATCATAACTATATTATATTCAAAGGCTCACCTAATATGTCTATAAACGTGCTAAATCAGCAGATGCTGTAAGTTTGGCCCCCAATCTGTTGTCAAATACAGTATAGTTCAGTGGTTAGCAGGTCAGATCTAGGGTTCAAATTTCTGTTCAGTCATGAAGCAGTTTTGATAATCAGCTGCTACTTATTGTCTGAAAACAAATTTGTAAGAATGTTGTATATATATCTGAATAATATATTGTCGTGTTACTTCTTTAGTTTTAATATTAAGATCTATAGATCAATAACTGTGTTGCATAGAGATGATGAGAGCTGTATAACATACAAACACAAGATTCTAAGTTGGTCAATTTTATTTTAGTTTCAGCTCCATAAAGGATTAACTCAACACATTTCTTTGAGGAAGAGCCAATCAGCTTTGCAATGATACTGTCTTCACTCTTATGACACAGTCGGTTCATCTGAGACCAAGTTGCTAACACTAAAGGATCTTGTTGACATTCTGTGATGGGTTGACAGTAGAATTCCTAGCCAGAAGGCTACCAGTAGGAGATTCCAGGAACTACACTCACAATGCCTTTGTGGAGAAAGCTGTCCTTATCCAAGGAGTCTAATTAGCAATAGCACTTAGACTTATATACTGCGTCATAGCGCTTTTACAGCCCTCTCTAAGCTGTGTACAGAGTCAGCCTATTGGCTCCAACAATTTAGGTTCTTATTTTACCCACCTCGGAAGGATGGAAGGCTGAGTCAACCTTGAGCCGGTATGATTTGAACTGCCAAATTGCAGCTAGCAGTTGGCTGAAGTAGCTTGCAGTACTGCACTCTAACCACTGTACTACCTCGGCTCTGAATTCCTCAGAACCTCATTATTTTTATCAATCAGAAATATCAAGGATTGTTGTAACCTGCCACTTTCTCTAGTGAAGTACAGGTAGTCCTTGACTTACGACCACAATTGAGCCTATGTTTTCTATTACTAAGTAAGACAGTTGTTAGGAGAATTTCCCTCCATTTTACGACTTTTCTTGCTCCAGTGGTTAAACCACTCTGGGAATTTATTGTTCTCATCTTTTGTCCACCTCTCATGTTTTCAGTTTCTTAGTTTCAGGAATCAAATGCAGAAATCCTGTATATCTATTGTATGCAGATGAACACTGCATATATATTTAAATATTATATAATAAAGCATTGTGCAGTTTATTTGATTTTGGTTTAGCATATCGCCTGGACATGCTAAGTCAATTTGTAGCTTATTTAATAAACCAGGGTTCAACAAACTATGCCTTAGCATAATGTATAAACCCCAGGAAATCCCAGATAAGCCTTTAGTCTAGAATACACCTTGGAAATGATAGACCAGTTGTTACGTTCTTAAGCCATTCTTCTAGTTTGACTATTACATTCTTAACCAACATATTTCAGCCTAATACACGAACCAAGTCTGTGTGTTTCGGTCGTATTTCAAAGCATTATGGGAACTCAAGAGAAAATTGAATCAGAAAACGATTAATTCGACCATGGTAAGTGCACAACATAAGCGCAAACTAGATGTAGTCTTGTAGCAATTTAGAAAACCTCCGCTTTATTCTCCGTAGTTCCTTTTATGCATTAAGCTCCTTCACTACATTATTCCTTCATCTTTTGCTTTGCTCTTTTTGAGATTCCAGATTGACTTCATTTCAAAGAAACGCAGACTTTGTTTTGCTTCGCAACAGTCTCTTATAAAGTTGAAGGGCAGTGCAGACTTTGAAAGGGAAGATACGTAGGTATTTTCCCTGTGACGAGAATTAGCAACATCGTAGAAGGTGGCTGGAACCAGACGGGGAAAGGGAAAAAAACAAATCTAAATTCATAATCTCTAAAATGATGCCTTGTGGGCATAATTTGTTAAAAAAGCACCCCACCCTGTAATATTCCCACTTTTGGTCTTCTCCTCTGAACGTATTTTAGTAGATTGAAAAGCCATTACCAGCTTTTTGAGTTCAGCTGCTAGTGTCCAATTTGCTCAAAAGTTTCAGTGAAGAGTTGAAAGTTACTTGACAATGTGTGTGCTCTCAGACCAATGCAACAACCATCGCATCTGTTACACAGCGCAGGATTCATTACCGCATACTGTTCATTAGTAGTCAGCGACTTCTCAAAGCAGAGTAAGCAAGCTCCTACTTGACCCCCTCAAAAATGAGCTCATAGACAAGTAATGCCTCCAACTTCTCTGTAAAGAAATGATGAAGTGATAAAGAATGTAAGCGTAAAGAAATGATAAATGATAAAGAAGAAAAGATTTAATCTATCCTCCATTCAGGCCATCCAGTGTGCCACAATTGACTAACAAAGGCACGGGTGGGTGGACTCAGGGGTCAAACAACTTGTAGGCTAGTAACTTTGCTTTTACCTCCTTTGCAAGGGAAAGGAATTTTGACTGAGGTAAAACAGTCCTTCCGACAAAGGGCCTCCCAAAGCCGACACGTCCTCTGCTTTCTGTTCAGCTCAGTTCTTTCGGAGGGCCTAATGCGTTCCAGATGTGCTGCTACGAATTCACAAAGGTTCACAATCTGCAGGGCTTTCTGATTTCCCAGTGCTTGTGTGTGTGTGTGTGTATTAGCAACAGTATTTGTAAACAACAATGCCTGTGACTAAAATGTTTGTGGCTGGCAAGGACAGGCAAATGAATACATGGTGGACATTTCCATGATGAATTGGACATGACTAACCCCTCCTCATGCCAAAAAAAGGTTCTGATCTGTCCAAAGGATGACTACTACAGTCATAAGAAAAGAACTTGGGATGTATCTGATAAGAAAAAGAAGTGGAGCAGCTCACTCCCAAAGGCAAGAGAGAGAGAAATATAC